ACAGAAGCTTAAGATGGCTGATTTAACCAAGGATCTTCACATTGGAAAGAAATTCAGCAGACATGATGAGCTACGAGAACGAGAGAGGCGGGCAAGAATGAAGATCAAACTTGGAGTTGACGGCGAACGCGACAGCTCAGCAACCCCTGAAGACGGTGGCCAAGGAGGGAAAGTTGGAAGCCCCGCTGCATCCTCGCCAGCCCCTTCGGTTTCAGCTCCGGTTGCACCTTCAGGACCTCAATTCCGTATTGTTGATGGGCAGATCGTGATCGACCAAAGCTCGTTGGCTGTAGACAGACATGCTCGAGCAGCCGCTGCAGCCGGAGATATGGAAACAGTCGAAGAAAACGACTTCACGCGCCTCATCACCAGCAACTCGTTCATGAACACCTCCAAACTTAAGGGCCCCAATATCTGGACCGACGCAGAGACAGAGCTCTTCTATCGCGGTCTGCGCATGCTCGGTACAGACTTTGAGATGATTTCCAAAATGTTCCCGGGCAAGCAGCGGCGTCATGTCAAACTCAAATTTAATCGGGAGGAGCGTCACTGTCCACAACGCGTCAACGCTGCTCTCATTGGCGAGAAGACGGTAAAGATCGATCTAGAAGAGTACAAGGCTTTCACCGGTAGCGAGTTTGAGCCAGTGGCAGATATCGAGGCTGAACAACGCAAGATCCAGGAAGAATACGAGGCCGAGGAGAAACGTCGAGCCGACGAGCAGGCCGAGATCATGCGCAAGAGACGAGAGGAGCTGTTCAAGGACGACGACGAAGGTGACGCGAACAAAAAGAAGAGGAAAAAGAAGCAGGCAGTGGCCTACGGTTTAAACGGTGAACCCATTGCTCAAGAGGCTTGAGCTGGGAGAGGACATAAATCAGTCCGAAATCAGGATCAAGAGTACGTCCAAAATCGGAGACATGATTCGGGCGGCGTAACGGGAACAGGCATGATACCCAAGGGGTTTTTTATTTGCTCACGAACGAAAGAAAGGGTTACACGGAATTAGTTTCGAGAGCAGTCTCTACAGAATAATAATTCTCCTAGGGTAAGGTACAACATTTAGTAACATATATCGTCATGATAAGTGACGCCTGTCTCTCGTCTCAACAAATCGTAGCTTCATGCCATCCAACGGGCGTAAAGTGGCTTGTGTCAAGTCAAGTTGGCGATCCAAACATAGGGGTAGAAGGGTCGGATGATTAGTGACTGGATATAAGAAATCTCAGCAGGACTCTAGCATGATGTGTGAGTCTCGTGATTGTCTTTGTACAAGGCCAGCCTAGGTAGACCGCAAACTAAAAAACTGGAAAAGTACAGAAAGTATACAGAGGAGGGAGAAAGAATCTTCTTATATGGCTACAGAGACGTGAGGATTCCTAGTGCTTGCGACTAGACATGTCGACGACTGTCCGCGCAATGGCAGCCGCAGAGCGCATCACCCATGATACAGTACCGAGGCCGTAAAACTACATATAACAATACCTTATTCAAGATATGGGATACCATCTGACACTCATCGGGTTGTTTTAACGGTTAACGAAATTGGGTCATTGCCTGGCAGTTGAGCCATTTCGGAAACGACATGCACCTCGGGTTTGAATTTTGGAAAGATATGAATGGTTAAAATAATTTTCGTCTTATAGAACAAACTTAGGATGCCCTGTGAGTACCGGACCTAATTTATCCCTCCCTCCCTCGCAATGCATAGGCTCGAATCATTCTAGCGTTTAGACCATGAAGCTTGAATTTGTTATCCTATGAACAGCAGTGAGATTCAGCATAATTCGTATTCTCTCTGACTTTGACATCCCATCATACTACTCGATCAAGGTAGCTTCATACCTAGGTAAGGTAGTCACTATAACACGATAGAGTAAGGATAGAGGTAGCTGAACAATCCTCAGTGACCTACCCACCTTACATCAGGTGTTGATTTTCACAATGTAAATATAGAATGGGAGCTTTCTAAGATCGAAACCACCACTTATGCCTGCTCTATTAGCTGGGACCAATGGCTGCATTCTTTTCATGATCCTCTTATGTTGTCCTATCCCTGGTCCGTCGCCGTCGCCAGATGGTTATTCCACAGAGAATGCCTGGTTTTGTGCCCTTTCCTTCGGTTCATAATCGTAACGCGTATTGTTCTGCACAGCTTATCTGCCCTTAGTTGTTGTTGGGAGCAGGCTCGTCATCCTCCGGTTGGTCAAAGAGGAAGTTAGCAGCTAGTTCTTCGTTCTTGTCGCAGGCAAAATAGGCCTGAATAGCCTGATCTCTATCAAATCCTAGGCGGCACAACTAATGTATGTCAGTAAATTAGATTCAAGGTCGTATCGAAATGAAAAACCTCACCCTCTCGATAGCATCTCGTTCCTCCTCAGTGACCGAAATGGCCTGAGCCCCAGGGGGTAGGGGGGTGTCGTCATCGGCATATTCACCGAGAAGCTGGAGAAATTGGTCTGGATTTGTAGCAATCAACTCGGCCAATTGGGGATTGCCGGCTCCGAGCTGCTGAAGAATTGGCTCGAGCATCTGCGGTTGTTGCTGAACAACCTGGCGGAGCTGCTGGAATTGAGCATTGTGTCGAAGAAAGTCGAGGTTACCCAGATCGCCACCTTGTCCAGCAGCAGCTGCGGCTGCTGCGGCTGCCGCCGCCTGGTTCCCTCCATTTCCTCCTCGGCCACCAGAACCTCCACGTTGAGCAGCAAGATCGAACAAATTGACGCCACCCTCATCAGAGACACCCTGGGCGGAAGCGGCGGGTTGAGCTGGTTGTGAAGCAGGGGCCGCAGGAGCAGCCTCGCGCTGCTGTTGCTCTTGTCGGATATTGTCGGGAATGCCCTAATATAAACCAAGTAAGCAATCGTCGTTCACGACAGCCCGGAAAATCCAAGACGAACATTAAGAAGATACTCGACAGCACGGTCAGGGTTGTTGAAAGCAGCGCGCATGGCCGCTTCAATCTGGCTTCTTTCGAAGCCCATGGCCTCCATGTTTGCGATTGCCTCGGTGCGCTGGGATCCCATAGCAAGGCCGGAAGGCTCCTCAGCTTGAGCACCAGTTCCAGCATCCACAGAGCGCTGAGGAGTAGGTGTCGCGGGGACAGCAGCCTGATGAGATGAAGATTGTGCAGGGGCCGCAGGGGCAGCAGGTGTGTTGGCAACAGCTTGGGCGGGTGTGGCAGGAGGAGCACTGGATTCGGCCGCCTTGGGTTCGGGCTTGGGCTTAGGCTATTGCGAGCTGTCAGTATGTAAGCCCCTGTCAAGGAGTCGCTGTTCCATACCTTGTTCACCATACAGACCACAAAGCCCTTCTCTTCAATGTTGTAGGAGCCAACAGTCTCTTCATCCTTCAGAATCTTGCCTTGGCATAACGTCAGCGACGATGTAGTGCGACAGAAGAGATAAGTAAGTACCAGAGTAGATCAGTTTCTGCAGCTTGGGCTCCCATCCTTTCTCAGCTGAGATCTTTTCTTTGACGGCAGAAATCTATCGAGGTATCAGCTGGCTGAATGATTTGCGCATACAGCTACAAGCGCCAACGCGGGGCAGCCATACCAGCTCAGAAGGCTCGACGTCGAGGGTAAACTTTTGTTGCTTGAGATCCTGGAATACGATTAGTCAACTTCCAGGACAATGAAACCAAGCACGAGAAATCGAGCTCATCAACGCAGATTCAGCGGCGCATGAATCGTGACGTACCTTGAAGGTGACCTTCATGTTGGGCGAAGACTGTCACTTTGAGGTGGGGAGGTGCGAGGCAAAGTGCAACCTGGGATTTAGATAGAGTCGTCTCGCTCGGTACAGGCGCGGTAGGAGAGACGATTCGATGAGTCAAGATCGAAGATTTGTTGATGAGGGGGAGAGTATGTGGGCGAGAGGTTGGGTAGGAGAAAATAAAATCGTCGACGTAGATATAGAAGTGTGTTGGAGGAAAGCTTAGTGGTTTACAGCCTGGACGAAGTCGACGTTTGGCTGAGGGAAAAGGTGGGGCATGAACCTGTGAGTTGGAAGGGTTACTTTCAAGCCAGCTACCACCAAAAATAGCCTAGTGTGCCTTTGTCAGCCACTCCAGGCTACCAAATGGCTCGAAGGCGCGCGTCCTGCTGCCTGAGAATAAGAGCTACCTATGTTTTATCAGAGGCTTCAGGGATGTATTGATCAGTACCTACGGAGTAGACTGTGAGAAAGAGAGAGTCAGTACTTGGCAGAGAAGCAGAATGGATTTCTGCTGGGAACATCCGTACGCATACGTCTAGAGTTCTTCATCCTGAAATTAAGTTCGCTGTCGACGAGAGTCAACAACATGGCCATCCCTGAAATACACCTATCATGCATGTTCTGGGTATTGACGTCGCCAAACTTAATGTCTAAGCCTTGCGAAAGAGAAGCTTTATTTGGAACCGAACCAGTGATGGAAACTCGTAACACGTAAAAGGAGAATTCTATTAGATCCCCCACACAAATAACCTTGCCACGTGGAGGAACACGGGGATTTTCTCTGAGACAGTCTTGCACCACATGCCAGTGATTCGAGTTGTCAAAACATGTTATGTTTTGCAAGGCTTAAAGAATAATGTATGGAGCCTTTTGAGAGTCTTGTCTCTGCCTCTTGACTCAAAGGCCTGCATGGAAGGATTCCTCAACATATTATCCAAGACGAACATCCTCAGGCTCTTTTAACAAATGTTTGTTTGATATTGCGTCTAAGCTTTCTAGCTTTTGTTCTACCTTACAATGCATCTCTGTCGTCCATCCTCGCGCCTCTAGCGCAGAAGGTCAAGTCATAAAAGCGCCTCGCTATTTTCATTGGTATACAAATAATCCTACTCAGTTCGTTCCACCAGGTCTGTACGGAACTCTTGAGTTTACCATCCGGTGGCGTCTGGAAGGATAAAAAAAAGATAAGAAAATGGAGTCTGTCCATATCATAGTGCCCGCTGTTTCACATACCCCTCCTCATTTTTATCATTATACTGTCACTCAGCCAGAATGACATCGTTAGTTCTTCTCCTGCTTCTTACTTTCTCCATCATCTTCATTGTCGATTTTTGACTTTCGGTTGTTATAATCCGACCAACTTGATCGAGCACCGGCACCCATAACCCACCCAGGAATGGGAGGTGTGAGCGGCCGGTCAATTGTCGTTAGGGAGTCTGTCTCGGACTCTTGCTCCTCTCTAATGCTCTCGTGCTCATCCCGATGGCTGAGAGGGCTTGGGCCCACTGTTATGGAGGCAGACCGCAGAGACCGTACACTCTGGCGGTGTGTGATGACTTGTCCAGCATTGGGCGAGGCCAAGACAACCGTGCCAGGCGTAGCCATTGGGGGCGGCGTAGGCGAGTCGGATCGGAAGAGCGGATGGATATGAGATTCACTCAGGGACGGCTCAGGGAGATCGGTCGTCGACGTTTGAGGGCTCATTTGCTCACGTATTATAGTTACCGGACTGAAGCTTCGGCTTCGCATGCGGATCCTCGGTGGCTCGAGAGGCATATCGTTGTTCGGTGTGGACGTTCTGCTTGGTGAAGGACTACCAGGAATTGTCTCGAGAAAATGGCCTTGGGTTTGCTGAGGAGGAGTTGCAGCTTCCATAACCACTTGGCGGTTGTTTGTATCAACAGACGACGTATCCCAGGTGTCAAAAACATCTTCACTCGACTGATATATCGTCGAGTCGGTCGATATTGGTCGTCGAAACTCACTTGACGACACGTGACTTCTGATAGTCGCAGATCGAATAGCATTTGAAAGTTGAATCTTGATTGAAGTTGAAGTGCCGGATCTGGAACGTCCACGTATGGATGGGGTGGGTGTTTGAGAGTCCATCGAGTTCATCATCCTGGGGGCTGTGTCATGATCTGAAGCTGTGTGACTATAGGGGATCGACTTCAGAGACGTCTTGGATCGGAATGATGGCAAGCCTCGGCCCTCCTCTAGAGTGTGGAGTGAAAGTGCTTTCTGATCGCTTTGCCGTGTAAGGAAGAAATGAACAGATAAGAAACCGGTTTGAAGGAAGAAGCACACCCCAAGACTAGCGGACAGGCCGACGAGAAGACTGCTCTTACTCGAGCCTGTGAACCCATGCTCATTTTCGAATTTAGACTTGCTGAATTGAATGAGAGTAGCCACTGTTGCAACAGTAGCAAATAGTATTGACAAGAGACAAGCACCAAAGTCAACACCCAGGCATCGTGTCGACCATCGTCGGAAGGAAGTTGAAGCATATGTGGAGGCGAACCAGCAGAGGATGACGAGAGTCACAACCTCGAGGGCAACAGAAACTTTCGAGAGTGTTCGGCCGCTTGATTCTTTGGGTGTATGAATTGTGAGAACAATAAGAACAGCTACCACGGCCACTGTGACCAGTAGGGCCAAAGAGCCCAAAACGATTGATAGGGTGCGCCGCATTGTTTCTAACTGTTGGTGAAGACGATGTTGCGTAGTTGCAAAGCCCCAGTACGGCACCTGGTAGGTGGCTAACCTCGAACTAAGCGTTCCTTGGTTCCCGTAGAGCGTTGCAAAATGAATCTTGTTTCTCGTAATGCTCGCAACGTTGAGTGGTACTGCATAATATGAATTGGCTATGCTTCCTCGACCTTGGTTCGGCAGTGCGACTGTGATATGGGTGTTGGACAAACGATAATAGGCGGCGGTATATATATTGAATGGCACCAAATTCGTCAATCAAAGACAGGAGTGTCCAAGTCGCTTCGGCAAGTGCTTGTTAGTTATGGGATATTTCGTTTTTGATATCCAAGCTTGCTTGGTATGAATCGGCCCAAGCCAGTAAACCGAATCAACACCACGGGTTGGTGAAAGAATGTAAGTGATATAAAATCGGGTCCGAAAGAGTGTACTACTCTAGGTAATATATTGCAGTCTGTCTTGTTTTGCAATAATTAGCCTGAGTATGGAAGCAACAATCACGAGGCTTCGGTATAAGTCAAGGATGGACGTTATTGAAACGAGCGGGTGAAGACCTGAAGGTGGGAAGGAAGTAATGAAGAGAAACGAGCAGAGGCCAAGGATAAAAGTAAAAGTTAAAATAAAACGAACTTGTGGATGCCAACGTTGGCTGGTCTGGTGTGGCAGACCCGTCTGAGTCGAAGAGAGCGTAGGCCAGCAGCACAGGACACCGCTAAGAAGAAGCACTGCATTCACTCACACGATGGAGACTCGATAAAAAAGCAAGCCGGGAATGATCCTCTGAGTGGACTCACCTTACTGACTGACTGACCATAGGCTGTGTTGCGTGTCGTTAGCAAAAGGCCGGCCCTAGACAGGGGTGTCTTGTACAAACCCCCTCAGCCCCGGTCAACTCTCTTACAAGCTGGCGACTCTCAGACACGGCGCACCCGCAAGAATAGCATCGCACCGCACAACCTTTCGTTTTCAAGCCCTGTTTGTACGTTCGTTGGTCAGGTTTACCTGAGGGAGGGGCCAGCTTGACTAGGAACCCTTCCCCTCCACGATTCGATGCCCGAAGGCTGTGTGAGATTGAGATTATGAGGAAGAGGCTCGCAGGTTGGCTAACGTGGCTGACTTCTCTTATGCAAGTCATGGAGCCAGCCTGACCTTGTAAGCCCGTTCTTCTTTTCGCTTCTTCCTTACTCCGTACTCCAAGTATCTCCGAATCTAATGCCCTGGGCCTACAGAGTATTGATGGAGTGACTGGTGGAGAAGCTGGTCTAAGTGGGTAAGCAGCTGGTTTTGTTATACATACTGTAGGCAAGTTGGATGTCTGAATGATTTTTCAATTCTCGCATTATTTAAATAGTATGCTGGCAGATATAAGTAATGCTAGCATTGTTTGGCTGTGCCCTCTGCAGAGTGTGTTTTATCACCAGAGCCACACACACAAGGAGATGCAATTCGGATGCCCTCACCACCTTAACTTAATACTTCCACTAGCTTACTGTAGCACATCCTGGTCTCTCTCCCAGCTTCCACCACCAGCAAAAGTCCAACGGTTTCCAAAACTCAACTCTCGAACGGGCATCGATCGCCCAGCCCATAGGACAAAAAACTCAAGCCCTCAAGCCCTATTTCTTCTGGCTAGTGTGATTGAGGCCTAGCCATGCCAATGAAGCCTCTGTCTTCCCCGCTACCTCCACGCAACCACACTGCAAAGTGTGTGCCATTAAGAGCCGAGGAGCCCTCTTTTAATCTACCTGCTGACGCCTTAATTGGACACTGGGATCGGGTACCTGACTCTAGCCTTGTTTGAGTTAGATTCATCGATCTAATCCAAGATGATAAATTTTGGGTTGTGAGACCAAGTTTGTTATTTGTTGACATGAGGTTGTATCATAGAGTCGACATTGGTGAGAGTAAATAACAACGGTGAATCATTCAATCTGGCGTTCTCAACGTAAACTGTGAAATCTTATCAGAGCGGTCACTCATCATCGAGTCATGAATCGAAGATCGATGAAAGCGTACTCAGACAGGGGATAGGTCCTGATATTAAGGAATGACTCTCCAATTCTGACAAACCTACCAGGACAGCATGGCAATAATTAGATTGGCTGTCTAGGCTAAAAAATGAAGGAGGTCAGTAAGCAGCTGAATATTCAGGAATTCGCAGCAAATACCGACAATGAACCCATGCCACGAAAGCACGAGCATCCCAGATCCCGGTTACTGTTTCATCTTCTTTCCGCTTATACCCTAGTTCCCCATACATTTTTGAGTCAACCATTTGGAAATCCCTCTTCATCCCCGATGACATGGGAGGGAGAAAACGTGGCACACAAAGTTGGCACTCGTTGTTACTTGTGAGGCTTCTTCACCGAGATTTCAGAGGATATGGAAGCCAAGATACATACAACTGAAGTATCGTAAGGTGCGCTGCCAGCACCCTATTTTTCGATGTCAGGTAAATTACCAAGGTTTAGATATTAAAAGTGACAGACCCCTGCCTCCATCTGTGGCTGGCTCCCTCATGCACAGCACAAGCAAATAACGCCTTAGTTTTAAAAGGTGATGCAGGAAAAACAAAGAAATGACTTTGAAGCTCAGAGTTGGAACCCAGCACGGGCCTGTTCAGTGACTCGGAATCACCAGCTGCGGCCCTGATTATTGTGCTCGTTTCGCTCTGGTTGCTATATCGCAACCGCCTCATGACACTTTGACCTCCATGCTCTTGTCTCCCTTGCTTCCAGAAGTTCCTTGCTTTATCTCTGATAGACCAGACCCTGAGAAATGCCCCGCTGAGGTCATCACACTATGTTCACCGAAATTACCTTTGTTCTGCCCATTGTTTGTTGTTTGACATTGGCCCTCCTGACTAGTTTGCTGAAAGACATTTCATACAGCTCAGTACGAGACTGTTTTGAAGTGTTAATACTGCCCTTGTCTTAGTTTCGAGTTCGGGTCGGGCATGTTACTTTTCCTAGCCTTACCTATGTTCCCCTTGCTCATAGTCATACTACCTCACCTACTTATCTGCGACATCAAGCCGCTCAATACAAATCACTTGGAACACATTTATTGATTCTGTTACTCAGATGGACCATCTCCATCCGATCCGTGTCTGACTGCCGATGAAATTGAATTACTGGCCCTTGCTTTTCCGAGCTGCTGGGCGACACGTTCATAGACTTGCTTGACTGCGAGTTACAGTGTTACTCAGCCTTAATTTGCTCCTAGCGAATCCTCCGGGTTTACCGAGCCTTTCAGCCCCATCATCTGTGCACCGAACAAATTATTTCGCAAGCAAGGTGCTCTGAAAATAGGAGATGCATCCCTTGCGCCCTGATGTGTATCTGTGGTATGACGAAAACCTGGATGCAGGGTGACCCTCGCGGTACTTCCGGGGAAATCTCGACAGGGCCCAAGCCATGTATGATTGGCGATCGCGGATCATTCTGTTTCTTTTTTTCACTCGGGGCGTTCGTTCATCAGAGTTTCCCATTGCTACCAGTGAACTGTGCCCTGTGGTTTATTTCCAAAGTTTGTGAATGTAACAGTAACAAGCCAGATGTCCTATATGAGAACCCTTCATTCTGCGCCTAAGCCATCATGGAGACCAGTTCTTGAATGATGCAAGCCTGGCAGGCCTGGTAACTGGCCGTCGATCACTCACTCACTCGCTTGCTCCAGCCCCGCATTGCATTTGAGATTTAAAGGCTCTAATAATAGGGTACCACCAACCTCTTGCACACTCGCGTCTCTTGCCATTGTGTGTGTATTCAGGTAGTCTACGGGAGTAAAACATCTCGCCTCACAACCCAATTTGATGTAGCATTGGCTTACGATGGACATAAGAGATATTCTTCTCTTTCTTGATCAGGATGCTTGAATCTAGATCTGATCACTACCGATATTGCTTTACAATGCCGTGTCCACACCCACATCTCCAAATGCTATTGTGCTCTGAGCTACTACGCCCGCAGACTATAATGAACCCAACCTAGGTCAGCCGTCTGTCCTGGACCTGTGTTAGTCTGTTTGTAGGCTCCGGTGGTGGCTTGCCCATAACCGCATCGCGTCCTATCGAGGGTCTATTGTATCAGTGCTAAGTTCTAGTTGCGTGTTGTATAAGTGAACTGGACTGTCTCGGGCCTTTTTAACATCGTACCCGTACACAGTCATATGTACTCACAACGTGGAAAACGACATGGGGTTCGATTGGATCTGCCGAGCATGCTCCTGAACTTGACAGTGCATGCTTCCGTTGTCATAGCAGTCACAGTCTTCCATCTCGAGCCGCGAACAATGCCATGCTTCGCTAAGGTCACCAATACACCTCGGCGTCGGGCACGAGTACAGCAGCGGCCGTCTTGTCTCTGTCGACGTCATCATTGACTGGCTGCAGCTCGGTTGGATTTTTCTGCTGTCCGCCAAAAACACATAGCTGATGTTTCCAGTATGCCAGCTTCCTTTCTCAGCCAGTTCTTCCGGCGCTGCTGTCGAACTGTTGCTGTGGTCGAGATTTCTTTATAGATCTTCATAAATGCTGAACGTTTCATTTTGACTATGAGAAAGACATTAGTTATTTTACCTACCCTATTTGTCTGCCTACCTGCTAATATTATTGATTGTAGGGGATTTAACGATCTATTCATTGGCCAATGACGAGCATCTTGTAAATAACATGAATAATTTGATCATTTCCTATTCCGTTTAGCAATGGGCTTTACAATACATTCATTGTTAAACCACACCTCTTTCGGTCTTATTGCTTTAAGGAAAGAGCCGTCACAGTTTCCTCTTCAGTTGCAATTATTTGATGTCGAGGAGAATCAACGGCCTATACTAACGTCAGCAGATTTCAGCGTTAGAATGACGTGTGCTGCAAAAGGACTCAGGAACTGGTGTTTACTTGGTCTTTATTTATTTGTTTGTTTGGTTGGAATTATTTTGTTTACTTTGGTCTCCACCTTCAACGTGTGGGGAGACTTGCAGTTGACTTATAACGTGCAATTTGACAGAATAATGATTTTCGTGTGGGTGCAAATGATACTGCTTACATGTGGCTGCATTATCCATTGCCGCCGTTCTCAATAGTCGACGGGGCACTCAACACAAAGCAATTTGCTGTTATGGGAAATGAATGCTAATTCAAACATTACCTACCTGCATGTGTAAGACCCGCAGATGCACACTCCCAGATCCGTTGCTAACTAAGAAGTTAATCAAAAAGCTACTTGCTAATAGTGTTGTCTTGAATTAGACTTGGCAAGGAAGAAAACAAAGCAGACATCATACTTACTCATCCTCAAGCCAAATCGTATCCTATTGTCTCACGCGAATGCTCGGGCGATTGTGCCGCAAGTGAGACACGCAGACACGTATATGTGAGAGTTGGGGCTCAGGGATAAGACATTTATGTCTCGGCTACAGTTGGAAACTCCTTAACAAGAGCAACTGAATAGCAGCACCAGAATAACGTCGCCCACGTGCTGTATCACGGCTGCCGTGGCGACTCCCTTAAGAGGGATGAGCTCGTTCTTCAGCGAATTGATACACAATCACGATTTCTAAATGTATGTTCCGCCCTGTCCGCCTAGAATGGTCCACCGTCTTGGGACTCACCAACGGCAGACTATTGGCGAGACTATTGCTAAACCGAACTCTTTGCACTGTAGAGGCCATTGTAGGTCCGGCTAAAGTCTCACTGTGTATGGAGTACGTCTCATGGTCTCGTTTTTCTGATCATGTCTTTGTAGCCATGGCGTTTCACCCAAGGCTAAGTAAGTTTGATGGTGAAGTGGCCGACTTTGCATATGCTCGTTGTCTGATTTGGGGACGTTGTTTACGGATTCCATTACTGCCTAGTTGACAAGATGCAATCAAACAATAACCTCCGCCGTCCGCAATTCAGTTCAAATCTTGGCACAGACATTAGACTTAATATAGGTTATATGGCAGGCAAAACAGCTGAACGTCTCCCCCCTCAAGGAGCTACAAAAAAATAGGTAGATAATCAAAAGTATTTTCCATTAATTGTGAAGCTGCATGAGTTTATGTCACAATTGACCCAAGTATGTCATATTCTTGAGTTCCATTCTCATTACCTTTGTGTTACTGCAAGAGCAGCATAATCATTAGGCCCTATTCAGAAGGCTGTGTCTGCTTCGAAGGATACAAAGCATCACGCCTTGCGTTAACAAACAAACTGAACGTATGGATAGATAAATTTGCCATAATGTGTAGCCACCTAATTAACGTGCTTTTTCTGATTGTCCCAAAACACTAAGTTAGCTGAGTGTCCTGACTGGCCATAAAGCCGGTGGCTGGGGTCTGACAAGTGTTGACATCATGACTTTTCGACTAGGAAATGCATCTGAAAGTGATATGCCCAACTTCTCAATGATCTCGGCTTCGTATTACGACAGTATTGCACCGAATTTCGAACATGGCAAAACCTCGTGTGATTTATTGGTTCCGAACAGATTTGCGACTTCACGATTCACCTGCTCTCAAGGCAGCTCTAGACCTTGATCCAGCTGTTCTTTGGCCCATCTTTACGTGGGATCCTCATTACGTATACCGTGCGAGAGGAGGCCTCAATAGATGGCAATTTCTGTAAGAAGAGAGAGAGAGAGAGAGAAGTTGCTCCTTGATTTGCAGTTGTTCTGACGAAGTTAAGCCTGGATTGCCAGAATGACCTCTCCCGATCTATTTCACAGGTGAACCCCAAGTCAAAACTCTTTGTTCTCAGAGAAGCACCACAGACTCTGTTTCCCAAGCTCTTTAAGGCATGGAAGGTCACTCACCTGGTCTTCGAAAAAGACACAGACAGTTATGGTCGCGAGAGAGATAGCGTTGTCGTCCAGGCGGCTAAAGATGCCGGTGTCGAAGTCCTTGTCCGTTCGGGCAGGACGTTATGGGATAGTGACCAGATAGTCGAAAAGCATGGCGGAAAGCCAACAATGTCTATAACGCAGCTTCAAACTGCCGGGAGCAAGCTTGGGGAGATCCGGAAACCCATTCCTGCTCCCAAACATCTTCCGGATCCTGGAGACATGCCCGTCAACTTTGAGCAGGACGAACCGAATACCGAGCCAGATTTCAATGCAGGATTTCGTACAGAAGGAGATAAAGCTTACACCAGGATAGCAGGGCCTAACGATGACTTTGCCATTGAAACGATGGAAGAACTGGGCTTCCCACCTGCGACCACACCCCATCGTGGAGGAGAAACACGAGCGTTGAAAGAACTCGACAAGTTGATTGCAGATAAGAAATACACTGCAACTTTCCAGAAACCCAAGACGAATCCAGCTCAATTCGAGCCACAAGCTACCACTCTCCTCTCGCCATTCTTGCACTTCGGGGCGCTTTCCGTGCGTTTGTTCTACTGGCGAGTAAGGGAAATAGTCGATTCGTATGGAAAGGGTGCTTCAACCCCCCCAGAAAGTCTCATTGGTCAACTACTCTTCAGAGACATGTACTTCGCCGCTCAAGCTGCTTTGGGTTATGTCTTCTCGCAGACGGCCAACAATCCGTATTGTCGTTTCATTCCTTGGCACTTGCCGTCCAAAAGAGATTCGGAAACGGGACTCATTACTGGAGAGTATCACATTGACTCTGAGGAGGCAGAGATCTGGTTTAGAAGATGGAGAGTTGGGATGACCGGGTTTCCCTGGATAGATGCCTTAATGAGACAGCTAAAAGACGAAGGCTGGATCCATCACCTGGGACGGCATGCGGTTGCTTGCTTTCTGACAAGGGGTGGTTGCTATATTGACTGGGAGCGAGGGTGCGAGGTCTTCGAGGAATGGCTCATAGACCATGAGCCGGCTTGCAATGCTGGTAACTGGCAGTGGCTATCTTGTACGGCCTTCTTTTCACAGTACTTCCGCTGCTATAGCCCGATAGCCTTTGGCCAGAAGTGGGACAAGGAAGGGAGTTTCATCCGTCGTTATGTGCCAGAGCTCAAAAACATGGACTCCAAGTACATCTATGAACCGTGGAAAGCCCCTCTCCCGGATCAGAAAAGGGCAGGTGTCCGCATAAAGGGCGATGGGTTGAACAGTATCGAGGAGGGAACGTATCCGAAACCAATGTTTGACTTTACGAAAAGACGTGACCTGTGCATCTCTGCTATGAAGACTGCATACCAGGTTGGTCTTCATGGGAATGATGGCCAGGCGCTTGATGGAACCTGGCGCAAGCTCTTTCCTACCAGTCGTGGGGAGATTCAAGGCGATATTGAGAGTAACAATGGCGAGCACGCTGATTATGCAGACGACGAAGGGGATCGTGAGGATAATGAGGCGAAGGAGAAAGGCGAAGGAATAAAGTCAATCGAAAATAGGGATCGAGCAATGAGTAAACGGAGCAGTAGACGGCACAGCAGCGAGAATACCACGAAAAAGCAGAAGACATGAGCGTCGATGCTCACCAGGCTATATAAAACAGAAGGGTCGTTCAAGACCGTAACGTCAGTTCCTTACTATACACTACAGAGGTGCTCAATTTTGTTAGTCCCATATAAACATAGTGTAACTTGTAAGGCTGGAGCAACCTCGGAGTCTTACCTTGATGTATGTCCATATCACTAAAATTTTGCACCTGGGTCTGCCAGTCTCGACCACTCCAAACCCCATAGATGATGATTCTTCTTCAGTTCGACATCCGTCTCCTTGGTTTCTCTCTCAAATTCCACTTCGGCCAGCTGTGAAAACAAATCATGCTTGCCCTTGACGGCATCTGTGTACAACTGTTGACGTGTCATCTCAGCATCACTTGATCGAAGCAACTGGTCAAGCTCGGCGTCTGCTTCTGGGTCTCCCAACAACTCAAGTGTTTTCTTTGCCTCATGCGCTCTCCCAAGCTTGACATAAGACTTTGCGAGACATATCAGGCCTTTCCGCTTCCATTCAAAGACTCCGTCGTCAACGTTGAGGGCCTGGTTCAACATGGCCACTGCTTGGTCATACTTTCCATCTTGGAACAGGTATTCGCCATAGACTGTAAGGGCATTACAGTTCTTCGCCTCAGCTACGAGCTTCATGAACCGATTCTCAGCATCTGCGAATGCAGTTGTTGTCCGCCATGATCCACTGGCGAAGAGCTGGCTCGCGAGAGAGACGACCGCAGGACTATAGTTGAGTCCTGAAGCTGAAGCCCACAATGCCATCGAGAATGAAGTATGGGCTTTTAGTCTCCTGAGCAACCACAATAAGCACGCCATCTCATGTGCAGCCTCGACTGGGATTTGGTTCTCTGCACATTGTTAGTGGGCCCATAAATGCTCCTCCGAGGGGAACTTGCCAGAGAGGTTGACACTAGAAGGATGTGCTCCCTTTCTTATGGCATTTGAGAACCTTGATGCATACTCGTAATATTCGTCTGGTCTGAGACTACCAACTTGATTGTCGGACGCTCGCATAGCCAGTTCGAAGTCCATAGGTGAGATTTGACTGAGGTCGAAATCAGTCTGGCTGCTGGAGCTTGGCTGAGCTTTAACAGGCTTGGGTGCCCGAGGAGGCGGGCGAAGAGGCTTCCTTGCGCCTTTAGGAGTAGCATATGAGCGAGTCTGATACCTAATGAAATTGCTTAAGGTGCTCAGGGCAGCATGGTGAGATGACTGTGCGATAAGAGCACATGGTAATGTAAAGTCACCACGTAGCAATTGGTAAACATTACGAGATTTTATATGAAGCCTTGCAGTCGACATATTTTGGATCATGTACTTAATAAACAAGAGACAGTCTGGCTATGTACGATACTCCTTTTCGCCAGTAGTCGCATGTAGTAGGTGAGGTGAAGTGAGATTCTGCCACTACTTGATGTGTGGGGCACCAGTGTGCCAATCATATCTTACGTTGGAGAAATGCCCGTCAAAAAACCCATCTCAAACTGAATTTTTCATACATCTTCAAGAGCTTAATCAACAACATTTCACAACCAAATTCAGCTCAGTGTGCTAGATTCATTATTTTTGACATTTTATTTTCCTACAGCTGAAGAGCATCAGCATCCTAAGTCACATTTCTTTACGTTTGCCGCAAGCTGTTCATCAGCTACAAATACTCGAAGATGGCACCTCAAACGCGCAAGAGAAACTACAACCAAAATACAACAAAAGATGCATCTGCGGAGAAACAGACATCGGAAGAAAAGCGCAAGCTGCCTGTAAGAGCCAAAGATGGTGACTCCAGTGACGGTGCGACGCCAACTTTAACGGAATCAAAGGGCACCAAGGTGGTTTTTGGAGATGACGACAATGACAACCCGGCGCCTCCCCCTGTGGTAGTTCCAAAACCTGATGTGCAGGTAGAGAAAGATGAGGAAGACGAAAGTGACGATGAAGCGCCCGAGGCCGTATCAACTTCCAAGGCGGCCTCTGATATCAAGAAATCCAACCAAGCAGCTCAGAAAGCAGCACAGGAGTGAGTTTCGCCGGTCTTCTTATTTCATGTTCTGAAATTGCTAACCTACGTCCAGAGAGGCTGCTGTACAAAAGCGTAAGCGTCGGGAAAGGGATGATTTCTTCAAGCAGCAAGCTGAAGAGCGCAAGAAGTTGGAGGAGCAAGAGAAGGCTGGGGCAAATGAAGAAGCGTCCGTTGAAGAGGGGCCTGCGCAGCCACTCATCCAACGAACCAAAGCAGGGAAAGCCGTGAATCTGTTACCCGCCGAGTTTTTGACAGATTCCAGCGAGGACGAGGACGATGGGATTGACGATCAACCAGAGGAACGTCCAAGGAAACGCCGTGTTGCCACTGTGGAAAGAAGCCTGGCCCGCCAGCAAAGGGGACCTAGGGATGAGCGGGTAGGCTCAACTGTCTACCGCGTTGCCAAAAAGACAGATGAGAGGATGGTACCTAAGTTGAAGAAGCATGCAAAGAACTCTAAAGATATTCTCTTGAAGAGAAACCGAAGTGTCACGAAGCAACGGTCTGGTTTCTTCGTCAGGTAGAGGAATAACCAAGTATCAGTTCTTTGTCACTTCAGTTCAATACCATAATACCATAGCTAAGAGTCATTATGCTCGATACACTACAGTTGTCTATTTCAGAAGCAGCAATTCGTTCAGTTGTCCTCTATCGGCAGTAGCCACGACGCGTCCATCAATAAGATAAACTGTAGTTTTGAAACGAATCATTGTCTTTTAGTGCCATGCCATCGAGGATTCTATAGTTATACACGTATTCGAAGATCACTTTGCTCGGCGAAACAGGTATCCGTACCATTGCTAACGGTTATTGTAACAAAGCGATCCCCATACATCGGCTGATACCATTTGCCTCGAAAAGCTTAATGCCTGGACCATGGCCATAGTGTGAGTTCCAAGACGAGACCTGCAAGCCGAGGCTAGGGCTACATCAAAGTAAAATCATTCATCAAACTGTAACAAACCAACATGTGGACACTTGATGAGCTTGGCTGACAAGGTCCAGAGGTCTATGCTATGTACAGTCACAATCCACATCTGGACCAGATGCGACGTACATATGCTTTGGATCGACATACTTACCTAAGTTGGAGATATCTAGGCATGCTTGTGCTCAGTTACCCACAGTTGTTACTGCCCGATTTGCGTAAAGTATTTGGATCAGCAAGCGAGATTTTGGGTATGCGAGGTACGCGACATCTGTAGCACTCCATACGACTACCTATATCTATGTACATTAGTAGGCTGGCGTAGGCATTGAGCAAAGCACAACTACGACGAAGGTATAACAGAGAAGAGATATAGCACCCACTGCAGTGCCGTTGACACTAACTCAATACAGGCACGCTGACTACATTGAGACACTGGCCATTCCGAAGCAGATTGAGGTGATATCGGGATCTTTCGACAAATCAGCTTAGCATCTCGTCCTGTCATCCGAACCCAGCACCTGGCGAGTGGGCTGCATCTCAGACACGGAAGGAAACGATTCGATCAAGTTCAGCAAGTCTCAGCCAGGTTGCCAAATGAGTTGACTCTCCGCACCAGAGTGGAGTGAAATGGGACATCCTCAGTGGAAACGCTACGCCTGGCGAAACGCTCGAGGCAGTTTGTTTAAAGGCCCTGGTCCATGTCTGCTCCTTCGGAATTGGGATATGCTCAAGTAGCGTCCCTACCGGGGAAGAAGGGATGAAACGTTAAAGGTCAGAAACATGCGGTAACTCCAGGCGTTGAGTTTCGATAGCAATGATGGTAGGATGAGCTACCGCAACCGACACGACATGAGATAAGAATCAGCGGCTTTCAAGTTGCACGATATGGCATCATATATGAATGCTTCTCACCGGTTACCCACCACAGGTCCTGCAGATCCTACACCTGGTCACTCGCATCCAAAGGAACCTTGGCGATGTACGGAGGACTGGAAGAAACACCTGATGGGTCCGAGGCAATAGTTTTAATTTCCCTGCACTTAAATCATATAGTACAGCACATATAGCCTCTGCAGCACTACCGATCCCAACGGTCGTTCTAGACGAAGCGACGTTGACGACTGCAATACAACGCAGAACATTGAGCTTCGCCTAAAATGCGAGTGAAAGCAGGGCGGGCCATCAAACACAATATTTTGTGATTCTCGCTAGGATTGTGAACATAATTAAAGTTTGATACAATTGTGATGCTTTGCCAGCATGGTTTCACCCTGTAGTCGTGCATAAGGTGAGGAGTGATTCGCAGCCAATATTTTATGTGCCCTAAATCATCGAGATTGATTTACCCGTGTCTCTCGTGTTAAGTCTGACAAGACAACATATGCTGACTGGTTTCGGGAGATCGACGCAAAATATTTCAGTGTCCTGAGTCATGTCTTGAGAAATCCACCAATTTGCGAATTTTCACACCAGTTGGTCGAGTTCAAAAATCCATGGAAGAGGACCTCGACCACCTAGTCAAGAGCTCAACTGATCTTGGCTTAGTAGATTGTTTCTGGCCTAACCCCGGACGGGGAGCACAGCAGGTAGTTGGCCACGTGGGAGAAACGTGACAGCAACTGTCACGTACCTTGAAAGACTACCATGCCCACATGCAGGTAGGTTTCTAAAGACGGGAGAGTTGCTATCATAATAGCTGCCAAATTTACCGGTTGAATATACATATATATTGGTTGAACACAGAGATATATGGAAAATAGGCCAGGGACAAGAAATCAGGTCAAGAAAGAAAAGAAAAAAATGAAGGCACCAGCCGTCCCTGGAGAAGTATTCATTGCCCTGAACTGGATACATGTACGTGACGGCAAAAGCAAACGCTTCCCGCGAATCGAATCTACAGACGAGATAGCATGCCAGGCTGAAAGAGGAGCCGAGAGCTGTAGGGCATTCCGAGCACGATTTGCGATTTGTTGCTCTGCGAGCTAACGAAGCCACAAGCAGGCCGCTATGGGCACAGGTGCAAGGGGTCCGTGCCAAAAAAAATCAATGTCAAATTGCCAATGCCAAGCACCCATCTAAAGATCACGAGTCGTTGGAAAACGATCTGAAGGGCTGTGTGGCGTTTTAGTCGGATCCAGGCGATATGGTTGCCCGACTTGTAAACTTCGAGAATGATGATTTTCTGCAAGGGGCTTCTGTCGTGAGTAACTGTACACTGTACAGTCAGGAAAGGTCGGAGTTGGTTCCGTTGTGTTGTGTTGATATTACAATGGATATGTTACCATAAGAGCATTGACCCACGATACCTGAAATCCATCTCATTATTAACGGTGAGCTAATTATTGCTATTTATGCCAGATCCTAAACTCGCATGGTTCTCCTGGTTTGTTGATGTACTCCCTCGTCTTGTGTGCAGAGTCCCGAATGGTTCCTGTTGTTTGCCTGTGGTATTTCATCCAGCTAAAGAAGGCTGTACGATGAGCCCTTCTGTATGGGCAGAGAGGACAACTCACCCTTGGCCTTGGAACACGGGCTGCCGCTGATGATCTCACAATGAATCAGCTGAATCGCGGTTGTCTGAAAAAGCATCCACCGTTACTTTGAGCCCGAGTCCTCTGTAAGGGATGCGCCAACCCCAGGGTCCAGCCCATCCCCCTTCCTTCCGCCTCGCCCCTCAGAAGTTTCCTGTGACAAGTTGCTTGTCCACTAACTTGTTAGCTCGTGTCTGCATGTTCCAGTTGGCTGTCGCACCGACCGGTTCGACTCATCCCAGCAGCCAGCAACCCATCACCATGACTTAACTTATGTAGCTTATTAGCGCATAGAACATTCGTTGGAAGCACCATCGAAGCGCGCTAACCTGCAGATACATCTATATGCAAGCCCAATATGATATGACGCTGTGGTCTCATGTGCTAACCTGACCGCCATTGTAATTCGGTGCGGAAGCATTCAATACATGTTTTTAAATTGACGGCTTTGCGATTGGCATTATCAGCAACACAGAAATCAAGTATATATTCCTGCGGCCAACCCCATGTTGTGGATCATTTGCCCTCATAGAGCGTACCTTGTCGAGATCAAAACGTACCCCGCGGGTATCACAAACTTGGCAGCTGAGGAAAGAATCCGCATTTCCCTCTCACGTCTCATAGGGTCTAAACGCAAAGCCGTAGGCAAACAGCACTGGATAAGGGCAAGATAACGATCAGGGTGAACAAGACCATATCATCATCGCTATGTAAGCATACCCTAGATACGCGGGACCGCAGCGTAAAGTGAAGCTTTCCCCTATCTAGATTTCGGCGTGGGAAGCGGAGAGGTCTGTCATTGATGGCGCCATGTCGTGTAGCCTGCAAGGCACCTTAATCAGAGGCCTACGATTCCAAACCCCTCACTGATATCCGTATATTTTAGGCCTTCCATTCTTCAACACCAGGATGGAGATTCCTCGAATAATGCTGCAGGCACTTATCCGTCGCGGATAGCTGCCGGGAAATCCCCATCCAATCAAACGACTGGGTTGAGACTCAGCATGGGTAACCCTGGCGAGCAACATTCAGGGGATGCAAGACAACGTTATCAAGGTTAACAGAAGGACGCTGTCTCCAACCCACAACGCCACGATGGTAACACCTTCACAACAGGCAGGATTCTTCTACAGAACCCACAGATAGAGAAACTCTTCGTCTTCCCCTTCTGCCCATCTCCTGTGAAGTGGCGGCGGCGGTGATGATGATGTAACAGCCCCAGCAGGCCGGCTTTGAAGTTCAAGGCCTTCTAGAAGCCCAGCCATCAGCCACCAACAGAGCTGAAGATGATCGTTTCTCGTGTGTCTCGGAGTACGTGCGTTTCAGAATAGAAACGAACTTCTCCGTTACCAAGAAATGGTGGCATTCTGAAACATACAGGGCGCGACTTCGTTTTGTTCTGTCATGTTTGCCCGCTTTTCCCCATCTTGCAGTTGTGTGCGACTGTTTCGGTAGAGCTGCACCAACTGAGATTCCGTCACAGTCAACTTCCCGCCTGTCTACCCTGTCTTAGATACATTATACATATGTACATAAGTCATAAACTGTATCACTTGTGGCTACATTCCGAATTAGTCGAAGAGTCTGGTGAAACCCTGCAGGGGTGCAAGTTCAACGAACCTGAGGGGCTTATGACGATTCTCAAATACCCTTGCGACTGACTATACAGTGTGCATTGTACTTATCAATTCGTTTCTCCCTCTGCAGACGTCCCTGGTCTTGGAGTCTCCTCGAAGGCATTCGTAATGCCTATTGATGCAGACTCTCAGACTCTGTGGTCAATATTTTATTCACCGCATTTGGTCCACCTACACAGTATTTCACCCGTGTCAAGTCGCTCCTTTGTATCAAGTGTTTTTCCTTTGCCGTGTCACAGTCATTGCATTTTGTCAGTAAATTGTTTCATGTTGCACTGCCATCCTACACGGAATCAGTTGTCATGTTCTCACTTGAGTCAGCATATGATGCGGAGAGCCCAGTTTCCGGTATTAAATTCAGTTCCAGATGGATTATTCTATGGTAAGTGACTATCATACCGCGGCCGAAGAAATTTGACAGATGA